AGGGCTGAGTTCTATGACACAATCACTTTGCAAAAGGCTCCACCTCTTAACACTATCACATTAAGTACTACATCCTAATGTTTAGTTTGGGTGGGGTGGGGAGGGGACCAACTTTCAGACTACAGCAAGCACCAACAGGTTTTGCAATTTGGTGCATCATGAGTGGCCCTGAGCTAAGAGATCTGCAGGAGGCTGGAGGGCATAGGCAGTGTCCCTGTCATTATCACCAGCTTACATTTGAGGACATCTGTGGTGGGCGAACAGGAACATGCAACTTGTAAAATTCTCATGGTTCATGAGAGACACAAAATCCATACGCTCAGAAAACAACCCCCTTCCCGCCACACACACACACACACACCAGTCTGGTTGTTTCTTTAGCCTGGACCACTCTTCCAACACCTATCACCATTCCTTTGCCTGAATAACTTGACTTTCATATAAATTTTAAAATCTTTTTTGTTTTTTGGAACTGTGTTAAAACCAAGATCATAGGTAGAAAATTGATATTTTAACTATATTTTTCCCAATCCAGAAACACAGTGTCCATTTAGGTTGTCCTTGATTTCTTTCTCCATTGATTTGGAGTATTTTTCAGTGTGCAGACCCTGTACACATTTGGTAGATTTATATCTTAGCACTTCATTCTCTTCAGAGCTACTGCAACTGACACTGGACTTTTTAAATTCAAATTTCAAATTTTCAATGATTTATTGCTAAGATGGAGAGATACAATTTTTACATATTGATCATAGATCCTACAACCTTGATAACTCACTTATTAGTTCTGGCTTTTTTATAGATTCCCATGGAATTATTTACAGAGATATTTATGCCATCTGCAAACAGGGGCAATTTTTTCTTCCTTTCCAATTGACATGCCTGCTATTTATTTATTTATGTGGCACCAGCTAGAAGCATCCAGGATAATGCTGAATACAAATGGTGAGAGTAGACCTCATTATCTTTGCCCCATCTTCAAGTGGCAGCATTGTTTCTTTCCCACTGAGTGAGATGTTGGCCACAGTTTTTTGATTTTTGGTTTGTTTTTTGAGACAGGGTCTCATTATGTAGTTGAGACTGGCCAGAATGCACTATGTAGCCCAGAATGGCCTTGAACTTGAGGTGATCCCCCTGCCTCAGCCTCCTGAGTGTTGGGATTACAGGTATGTACCACCATGACCAGCTTTTTAAAAAATTAATACATGTTTGCAGTACATAATGTTTACATTCATTTTAGGCAGTAGGTAAGTGTACTTAACATACTTAACATATTTTTTTAATCTTTTTTTGGTACCAGGGATCAAACTCAGGACCCTGCGCTTTCGAGTCAGGTGGTGGCACCACTGAGCTAAATCCCCGGCCCTTGATTCTTTTTATTCCTCTTCCCCTCCCTTCCCTCTTTCTTTTCCCATTTGCAAAAGATCTATCTCCCTATTTCCCATTATCTTTTATTTTGTTTTTTTTTGGGGGGGGGTTCTCATATAAGAGAAGTTATGTGGTATTTGAGCTTGTGTATCTAAACAACTCACAATCTTTGTGCTTCAACTTCCTCCTCCATAAAAGGCAATTGACAGAGTAACTACTAAGTGATACCTACTGTTATAATTATTTAAAAAGTCTCATCCAGTCCAGTCTGTTCCCACATATAACAGTATATCCATCCCATCCCAAGAATAAAACTCTGCTTTCAACCAAGCTGATAAATAAAATAAATAACAATAAGCAAAAGCAAAAGGCCTGGCACATTAACTATGATTATTTCATTAAATGGTGTTTGGGAGCTAAAAAACAATAAGGTCTCAGAGATTCACACTCATAAGCACAAGGAAGTAATTTAAATTAGTTCAATTCTTTTCCACAAGATGGGTACATTTATTGTTTGATATAAATGCTGTAGACATTCTCCCCCACTAAGCAATAGGTCTAGGTTTCATTCTGAAAAGATGTAATCTATGCAATTGCACTAATGATTAATTTTAATATTTCAGATTAGTTTTACTATCAACATCTCACTTAAAAATTTAGATCATCAGGAAGTAAATTATATTTCATTCAAATATACAATTATGACAGGGTGACATTTGCATGTTTCTTTAAAGACAGGACATATTAACTAGCAACAATGACAGCTAACATTTATTACAAACTAATTAAATGCCTAATGAACTAGGTGTTAATTTTTAGATATTTTGATCATTTGAGTTTTTTACAGAAATTCCTCAGCCTGATGCTTGACTATTAATATGAATGGCTCTGTGAGAGCTGTTTGCTGGCATCTGTGTGAGGTTTTTAACACTGAAATGATATAGAAAGGTAAGCCTCACACTTCCCTGTGCATGTGGATCACCTGGGGAATTCTGTTAAAATATAATTATGATTCAGGGGCTCTGGAGTGAAGCCCATGACAACAAACAAGTTCTGAGGTGGTAGCGATGCTGCTGCAGTAAGAGGACCAGCAAGCATTCACAGGTTTCAAAGGCCACATACCACTAAAAAATAAAATAAAATAAAATAAAAATCTAAAACTAAGACTTTTAAAAAACAGATTTTAAAAATAAAAATAAAATGTTACTAAAACACTATCGAATCAGAATTTACTTTTTTCCCCCCAGTACTAGCCATAGAACCCCAGGCCTCAGGCATGCAAACACTATTATTGAGCCACGCCTCCCCAACCCTTTTTTCTTGATAGGACTCTAAACTTTCGTGATATCTCAGAACTATCTTCATAATGACTTCTTGTTTTCTTTCCCAGTTTAGAATACAATTCCTTGGAGTGAGGGGAGGAAGGCTCGCCCCACCCTCAACAAAGTTTTTTAAATCAAGGCTGAAACCCAGATACACCAAGACCACCAAGTTATCAGATTCTTCAAGTGGATCCCTAACTTTCACAGGTTCATGCACACAATCTCTGAATGCTCAGAGATTAGATAAATGGCAGAGCTGGGAGAGATGTTAAGGGCTAGGTCCAGAAGTTCTTCCTGATTAAAGGTAAAGTTCTACGACACAGCAGTGCTCCCAAAAAGCAAATAAATCCTACTGGCTTTCAAACCCTGGCCATAGGTGACAAAGTCCCAGCAACGAGCTGATAATTAACACCTTGAACAAACTACTGGATTTCATTCTTTTTGTAGATTCTTTGAGTTGCAAATTGGAGTGCACCACTAGCAAGTTCTATTTACTTTCAAAAACCTATAAAATAAGCAAAGTACTTGACAAGGTCTTGTACTCTAACTGGGTGCAAATTTGGCCCTTGCCCTTTTCTTATTCATTTATAATTACCTGTACCATACTCAAACACCTGGCTAGCTGCCACTTTTAAAGAGTGATTACCCATCTCTCCCCTTCTCCTACATTCTTTTTCCTAACAGAAATGCCTAACTACAGAACTAAGATATCTTTGAGAACATTCCAGTTTACTGCATTAAGGTCAGTTTAATATTCTAGGCTGAGCATGGTGGCCCACACCGGAGGCTGAGGCAGAAGAATCGCAGCAAGTTTGAGGCCAGCCTGGACTACGTAGCAAGACCTTTTTTTCTTTTTCAAAAAAACCCACACCAAACCAAACCAAACCAAAAACCCTAAACACAGGTAACCTGTTCCATTTATCTTTCCTTAAAGCCCTTCAAAAGTACCTCTAGCTATTAACAGAACAATCCTTCCCTCCCTGAAATAAGAACTGTATGATTCTGCAACACTGGGATTTTATTGAAAAGGTGTCCAGGGCCAGGCATTTAGCTCAGTGGTGCCATGCCTACCTCGAAAGTGCAAGGTCTTGAGTTCGATTTCTAGTACCGCAAAAAAAAAAAGTGTCCACACATGACACTATTCCCAAGGAATGTTTTTTATATCTGCACTCAAATAAGCGCAAAAGAACCACTGCTTTAAGAAATAAAATGTAGGGCTGGGGATTTAGCTCAGTGGTTCCGCCACCTGCCTCGCAAGCGCAAGGTTCCGAGTTCGATCCCCGGTACCAAAAAAAAAAAAAAAAAGAAAGAAAGAAAGAAAATGCATATACACTCAGCTCCATGCAAACGAATTCTCTGGCTCGCTGAGAAAACTATAAAGTTTTGAGGCTCGGCCTCAAAGGAAGGCCTACCTGTAACAGGGAATGTGCAGAGACACACAGGGTCTTCTGAACTGGAGCGTATCCTGTCCACAAGAGCTAAGCAACTGCCGGGAAGCCTGTTACAAAACCACCAAACAGGAACAGGGCAGACAGGTCGCTGCCCTGAACACCTTGGGGCTAAAAAAAAAAATTAGAACCCTGAGAAATAAGCTATGCTTCGGACATGTCCAACAGAAAGTTCCCTGTGTCTGTCAGCTCCCAACCGGGCTGTTCTCCCGGAACGATTTAACTCTAGGTACCAATTGGGCAGTGCCAGTCACAGTGCTGGGCGGAGGATTCAAGAGATGCAAGGAGGGCTCAAATCTCTGCAGTATAAACTGGAGACTGGGCGCAGATCTAGACTATTCCACGGTATGTGAACCACATAACTCCATTCAATTAATATTTATTGAGCATGCATATGCCGGCACCCTGATCGGCACCAAGGTGGAAACCAAGCTTCAGTCCCGTCTCTGGAGGCAGACAAGGACCGTCCGGAGGTTGCGTGGGCCACAAAAAACGTGCCACAATTTGCAAAGCCCAGTAGTACCGAAGGGACTGCATGACCCGCCCCCGCGCGCCGCCTCTGTGCACCACCAAACCTAGTAACTAAGGCAGGCGTGGGCAGGTAGGCCCCGGGGCAGGTGTGCAGGTACGAGGCACACCTGTGGCTTCTGGACCGGAGGGGAGAGGCGCCGATGGAGAGCAGGGTCCCCTCAGGAGAGAGCAAGGCGCAGAGACCACGGGGGAAAGAGGTACGAGGAGCTGGGATCCGGGCGCAGGGACGCGGCAGAGGCCAGCCAGGCCTGCGCACCGCAGCGCGAGCGAGACGCGGGCAGAAAGCGCGGCTAGGCCGCCCGCGGCACCTGGAGCCCCGCCCGGCACCTACCACTTGGGCGACCTTGAGGCGGCCGAGCGCGCCGCGCAGGTAGTCGGGGTCGCAGCGGAGGCCGGCCAGCCCGCGGCGCTGGCTCACCGGCTCGGTCGTGGGCTGGTACGGGCTGCTGGCGCCCGAGATCATGGAGGTGCTCGAGGCCTCGCCCTCGAAGCCGTCCAGCTCCTCGCCGCTCCGCATGCTGCCGCCCGGCCCGGGCCGCCTCGCGCGGCCGGCCCCCGGCGCCAGGAGCGGGCGCGCTCAGCGGGGCCGTCGCATCGCCGCCGCCCCGGACTGCCCGCCGCCCGCTGCGGCCGCGGCTGGGTGCGCTCGGGCTCGGCTCCCGCCGCCTCAGCAGCGGAAAGGGAAGGAGGCGGGAGCGGCGCGCGGGCCGGGAGGGGGCGGAGCGAGCTCCCGCAGCCGGCCGCTCGATGGCGCTCCGGGCCCGGGAGGGCGGAGGCAGCGGGGCGGGGCCGCGGGCAGGGGGCTGGGGGCACCGTCTCACATGCCCCGCCCCTGGCCCCGCCCTCACCTGCGCGCGCGTTGGCCAGGCCTCTGGCCGAGGAAAGGGTCCCGGCTCGGGAAGGGTGGGGTCCGTGAAATGGGGCGGTGGGGAGCCAGAGGAATGGAGGCTGAGGGGAACGTTAAAGTAGGCCGAGGGGGGCGTGGAGCTGCTTTTCCAGGCGCTGCCTCAGTTTCTCTTCTGGATAAAGTGAGGTCCTGTACAGGTAGACTGGAGGACTTCCCAAGGAGGACCGGCGAACAGTGCATGGCCCACAGTGGGCCTGTGTGACAGACGAGGGGCCATAAGTTTGTGGGTTCCCACGCTGGTCGCCTTGCAACAAGCCATTTCTGCAGCAGGCAGGGGTGAGTGTTAGAGGGCCAGTAGGGTCCGCAGACCCGAAGTCAGCCCTGAACCCTCCCCAAGTTGGTGCGTGGTGACTAACACTAATTTCTTCTCTTGACTGAAAGGCGTCTTTACCTCTGAGGCGTCAAGCCAGGTTAAAGAGAGTTTGACCTGAAGGCCTTAATTAGGGACCAATTTGCAATTCAAGTGTGAAAGCTAATTTTAAGGTTAAGTTAAAAGGCTGACTTTCTAAGAACTGTCACTCTGATACTGAACCCTTCCACACCACAAATACCCAGAGCTTCCTGTGCTCTAGGCACAGAGCAGGGCACTTGCAGGTGGTATATGACTGCTATTTTACAGAAGAGGGGACAGCTCTAGAGCGAATGTGACTTGTGCAAGGTCACACAACTAATTGGTGGGCAGAGTGCTGGTTCCACCTGTTTTCAAAGATGGGAAGACAGTAATTAATACTTTATCAACAAGTAAGTATTTGGTATTTACAGTACTGCATATTAGGCAGTATGCTAAGAATTGACAGACTGCCAGTTAATGGGGACAGTGTAGGTTCTGATATCTGCTTTCTCTCAAAATCCCAGTGAAATGACAGCTTACAGGGATCTCTGTTTTTAAAGGCATAAAACCAGAAACAAAGAATGGGAAAGGAGACAATGACAACAAAATATTGGAAGTGGGAAAGCAAATGTGCAATTGATAACTGATGTAGCAGAGCCAAGAAAGCTAAACCCTAAACTGGCTGTGGAAAGGCTGAAATGCAAACCAGATTACAGTATATTTCAGAACAAAAGACTCAGGAATGGGCAGCACCAAGAACTCTAGAAGGGGTGAAGGCAGGAAAAAAAAAAGGAAACTGAAACTTCTTTTTTGTTTTTTGTTTGTTTTTTGAAGTACTGGGGATTGAACCTAGGGCCTTCATGCTAATCTACATTTCCCAGTCCTTTTTAAAAAGTTCTAATTTTCTTGCCAAATTGCCCCAGCTGGGCTTCAACTTGTGATCCTCCTGCCTCATCTTCCCAGAGGCTGGGATTACAGGTGTGTGCCACAGGTCCTGCTGATTTATTTTTTTAAAGAAGAAATTGGATCCCTGGATTCCCTTCCACACCCATGCTCCAGGAATTGTATTTTCTAAGAGCCTCTTAGCCAGGGATCTCTAGACACAGTAGAAGGCAGGAGTGCCATACAGAAAACAGGAGTGGATTAAGTGTAAAGCTTGTTTATTGAGTGTCAAGACCCAAGGGCTTCTTTCTTGAGAAATCAAGTCCTTTAACCTTCTCTGGAGAACCTGAATAGTCAGGAGGAAAGACCTAAAGGAAGTTCCTCAAAGTACAACCTGTGAAGTCACCCAACCCTGAGTTGCCCAGATCTGTCAATACCACCCCCCCCCCGCCCCAGTATTGAACCAGGGCCTTTTCACTGAGCTAATCTCTAGTCCTTTTTAAATTTTTTTTTTTTTTTTTGTACCAGGGATCAAACTCAAGACCTTGTGCTTGCAAGGCAGGTGCAGTGCCACTGAACTAAATCCCTGGCCCCCTTTTTAAATTTTTGAGACAGTGTCTCTAAGTTGCTAAATTTCCCAAGCTGAGCTCAAACTTGGGATTCTCCTGCCTTAGCCTCCCAGAGTGCTCAGATTATAGGTGTACATGACCAGGCTCCAATAAACTTTTTAGGGCCCTACTTTGAAATATATAAATGACATCTAAGAGTCACCAAACATTTGAGGAAACCCTATGATATAATAGGCAGAGGTCAACACTTAGAAGAAAAAGCAACTGGGAGGAAATAAGATCTATCATTAAATGTTTAATATATATATGTATGTATGTACCTATGTGTGTGTATATATATATATATATATATATATACACACATCATTTTATACATATATATTTTAGTATTTTCAGGGAAAAAAGATATTATAACTACAAAATTTTAGAGTAAGCCCAGCGTGGTTCACATGCCTGTAGTCCTGAGGAAAGAGGATCACTGAAGCCCAGGAGTTCTCAACCAGCATTCTCACTCAGCCTCAAATAGTGACTCTATCTCACACAAAAGAAAAATTTAGAGTGAGATACTACCAGAAGAGAATATTTAGAAAACATAAAATTCTTAGGCACAAAAAAAGATGTTCAATGTCATTAGAGAAATGTAAATCAAAACCACTTCACATCTAAAATAGCTCTAAGAAAAGCAGAAAATTACAAGTATTGGTAAGGATATGGAGAAAGTGGAACCTTCACATGTTGCTGGTAGGAAGGTAAAATGGTGCAGCCTCTGGACTAAAAACCATTCTTCAAACAAGTATGCAGAATTAACATAGGATCTGGCAATGCTACTTCTAGATATGTGTTCCAAAGAATTGAAATAGGTGCTCTGATAAAAGCATATACACAGGGCTGGGGATTTAGCTCAGTGGCACCACCTGCCTTGCAAGTGAAAGGTCCTGAGTTCAATCCCTGGTACAAAAAAAGGAAAAAAAGCATGTACACAAAAGTTCATAGCAGCATTATCTACAATAGCCGAAAGGTAGAAACAGTCCATCAAAATGTGTGTATCTATAAAATGGAATATTATTCAGCTGTAAGTGGGAATGAAGTGCTAATACCTGAAAAAACATGGATGAGCCTCAAAAACATGCTGAGTAGATGAAGCCAGATACAGAAATCCATGTGTTATACTATATCATTTATATGAAATATCCAGAATAGCCAAATTCATAGGAAAAGCAGATTAATGTTTGTCTGGGACTAGGGGAGAGACAATGGGGAGTGACTACTTATAGGTTTGGGATTTCCATTTGGGCAATGAAAATGTCCTGGAACTAGATAGTGGCAATGTTTGTACTTAATGTCATTGAGCTTGACACTTAAAATGTTAAAAGGGTAAATTTTTATGTACACATTAACATCTATCCTTGGATGTTAAATAATATGAAGGAAGCATTTTAAATTTCAATAGAGTTAAAGAAAATCCCACAGGAAACAGAGCCAAAGGACCAAGAGATGGGAAAATGAGAGAAGATCTTCTAAGCTCTAGAGAGGAACAAAGCAGGTTCATTATAAAGGATCAGGAGTCAGAAGGGCATCACACTTGTCTATAGCAACTTTGCAAGATACAAAGACAATGGAGCAAACCTTCCACATCCTGAGTGAAAATGACCCCCACCTAGAAGTCTGGTTCCAGCTGAGTATAAATCAGGTGTGAAGGTTGATGAAAGAATCTTTGGGATTTGCAAAGACACCCTCCGTGTCTCAGAAAGCTGGTGGGGGATACCTCCCAAACAAGGATTTAAGCCAAGGAAGTAAAAGACATGGGATGCAGGAAAGGGCTGTTGCAGCAAAACAACTGAGGGTGAATGGGGCAGCAGCCAAGGTACAAAAGGGTTAAGGGTCCCCCACTCCAGAATGGAGGGCCAGAGGCTTTGAGAGAGACTTCTTCAGGACAAAATCAAGAATGTATTTGATAGCTAGGGATTTAGCTCAGTGGTTCCACCTGCCTCGAAAGCACAAGGTCCGGAGTTCAATCCCTGGTACCAAAAAAAATTTTAAAGAATGTATTTGATAGCTGGGTGCCTGTAGTCTCAGCTACTCAGGAAGCTGAGGTGAGAGATTATTTGAGCGCAGGAGTTCAAGGCCAGCCTGGGCCACATAGTTAGAAGCTGTCTCAAAAAAAGGAAAAAAAGGAAAGGGAAAAGTGAAGGAAGAGAAAAGAAGGGAGGGAGGAAGGGAAGGAGGGAGGAAAGGCCTAGCATGTGTGAGACCTGAGGTACTATCCCCAGCACTGGAAAAAAAGATGCATTTGAACACACAGAAAACAAAGATGATAGTTTTGGGACAATTTTGAGATATATTAGTGATAAATGCTTAAAAAACTAAGCAAATATTCATGTTTATTAACTTCCAGGAAAATAAAATGGTATAGAAAAAGGGAAGTATGGTAAATCCCTTGGCTCAACTGTATCATTTGTATAATTATAATAATGTAAACAATGAATGCTGATCTAACCAAAAGGACATACCTACATTTGGAGGAAAGGAGAGGAGGACCAGAAGTGTGGGTATGTGATAGGGAGAACAGAAGGATGGGCTAGAAAGCTGAACACTCATCATTCACCTGGGGAGATCAGCTGCTTAAAACTGAAAAATCCAGAGGTAGCAGTGTATGCATATCAGTTAGACATATAAATACAAGCTGACATGATGATACACACCTTCCTGGTCCACAGTGACACTCTCTACCAAAGAAAAGAAAAAATATAAGTACAAAAATATTCAATAGTTAAAAAGTGTTGCCTCTGGGCAGATGGAAATGTCATAGGGATGATGGGCTTTATAGAACTATCTGAACTCAACTAGGTTCACAACTGATA